TCTGGGCAGCTCGGCGGCAGCGGCACAGCCCTGCCAGGAGCTGGGACGGGGGGCTGCAGCCCCGTGCCCACCCCCACTGCCGGCCGGGGTGGGCGGGAGCCTGAGGAGGGGCTCTGGCAGACCTGAATGCTGCTGCCTTTGTGCCTTGCACACTCTGGCGTGCCACCCTGTACCCAGGGGAAGTGACAGGGACCCCAGAGAATGGGAGGAGCTGGATGGGCTTGCACAGCGTGGAGAAGCTCCCTCTGAAGACATCAGCAGGGGAGGCACAAGGGAGAGAAAAGCAGTTTCAGCTGCCATGTGATGTTGACATAAGAATCACCAGGTAAAAACTGCCCCTGAACACAGCAGAGCTGGGAATTACGGGATTTTTCACTGCTGGGGGAGGTAGGCTTGGGAATGATCTGAGGGATCTCAGCTGAGCACTGGGGTAGAATGAACACCTCCAGCCTCTGGCTGAACCTCGCTGGGGACAGGAGGAGCCCGAAATTCCCCATCCGCAGCGCTGGGAGAGCAGGGGACGATCTGTGGGTCCCTCCGCCCTCCCAGCCCGATCTCCCCTCATCCCTTGCTAGCACAGCGCGTTGCCAGCGCTCAGCCGAGGGAAATCTGCATTTCCTTTACAACGAACAGCCCCGGCTCTCGGGGTGCAGGTCCCCGAGCGCGGGGTGCAGCGGGGCCTCGGGGCCGCACCCATCCCCGCACCCATCCCCGCACCTATCCCCGCACCCATCCCCGCACCCATCCCCGCACCCATCCCCGCACCCATCCCCGCACCGGGCCGGCCCTGCCGCTCCCCGGCGCGGCTGCGGTGAAAACGCCCGCGAGGAACCGGGCAGGGCACGGGGCTCTGGGGGCGCAGAGGCGGCTCCGGCAGGCAGCGGGGCAGCGGGGAGGGGGCTCGGATCCTGCGTGACTTTGGGAGCAGGGCAGCCTCAGCGTGGGGGTGCTGGGCACGGTGCCCCCGTGCCCCCTTCCCCAGGAGAGGACGGGGGGCAGAGATGCCGTTCCCTCGGCGGGAGTGAGTCCTCGCCATCCCTGGCTGGGGGGACATGCAGATGTCACCAGCAGAGCTGGATGCAGCCCCTGTGCCTGCTGGCGCCCTGAGGATGAGGATGGTCAGGGGCCTCAGTGCTGCTGCCCCCGGGCCAGCTCCTGCTAACAGGATGTGATGGGCGCGGGAGGCGCTGTCACTCGGCATCTCCACCCGGCAGCCGGGACCGGAGCAGGGGGGTGGCCCCGGTGGGACTCGGGAAGCTCAGCCTTCTCTGCCCCCTCGGGAAACACCATCCCGCCCCCTCCCCGGCATCAAACAGCCGCACCTCATACACAAATTAATTTATTCCCCTGCCAGAGCTGTAAACAAGAAGCAGCCCCCCCACCCCGACCCACCGAGAAGTCCCCATCCAGAGGGGTCCCCATCTCAGGGGATCCCCATCCCCAGGGGGTCCCCATCCCCAGGGGTCCCCTTCACAAGGGACCCTTCACATCCGTCTCCCCAGCCCAGAAATGTGCAAATCCAATCCCAGTGCAAAGAAAGGCTTTGGCAGGGAGAGCCCTGGGTGCCGTGAGGGGGGGTGGCAGCACACAGAGGACCCCAAAACTCGCGGGTTTGGGGGTGCAGAGCCTCCGGCAGCGCCCCCCCCCCCCCGAAGGCAGCGAGCACTAGAGGGCAGCAGGGCCCAGCACTGGGCGGCGGGAGGGAGGCATAAAAATCAAATTAAATAATAATTCAAATATCAATAAATAAATAAATGGATGGCTGGGGAAGGGGGGAGGGGGTTGAGTCCCTCCTCCTCTGTCAACGAGTCTCTCCTCCCCTTCCCGAAATGTATAAAATATATTTTGACTATCTGAGGTAAAAAACAAGGTTGTAAAAAAAAAAAAAAAAAAACAACAAGATGGGGAGGAACGTTCCTGGTGTTTCCCCAGCCTTAAAAAAATAAAGCATCATAAATAGTTTTAAAGAAAATATGAGGATCGGCCCCCTATCTCTCACGCATAAATATATATTATATTATGGATAAAAAATACGTCTTTCTCTCTATTCAAAAAGTGGAAAAATAGAGGAAAAGAAGGGGTTGTGCCCAAAAAGGATGAGTCTGGGAGGAGCTGCTTGATTCCAGGAGCTCCTGCAATGTGCCTCTGGGAATGAAAAGGGGGGATCAGAGCAGCCCCCCGAGTGGAACCGGTGAGCGCGGGCTGCGGGGCCGCTCAGACGTCGCTGGGGGAGCGGGAGCGGAAGGGCAGCGGCGACGAGAGGCAGGCGCAGCACACGGCCCACAGCACCTTCCGCACCTCCCGGTTCCTGAAGGCGTAGATGACGGGGTTGAGCCCCGAGTTGTAGGCGGCGGGGAGCAGCGTGGCGTAGGTGTACAGCGCCGGGGAGCGGCAGTCGCCCAGCAGCCCGTACACGGCGAAGGGCAGCCAGCAGCACCCGAGGGTGCCCAGGACCACGGCCAGGGTGGCGATGCCCTTGCGGGTGGACACGCAGTGGGAGCTGGCCAGGAAGTGCCTCTGGACGGCGATCTGCTGGGCGTGCCGGCACACGATCCGGCAGATCTGCACGTACAGCTGGAGCATCGCCGCGAACACGGCCAGGAAGGAGGCGGACAGGAGGATGAGGTGGTTCTTGGTCAGCGGTTTGACGACGCTGCAGGCGGACGGCTCCCCCAGGCAGTTCCAGCCCATGACGGGCAGCAGCCCGTAGCAGACGGAGGCTCCCCAGGCCAGGATCAGCATGATGTAAGTCCTGGTGACCGTCCTCTCCGAGTAGTAGGTCAGGGCATTGCAGAGGGACAGGTAGCGGTCGATGGTGATGGTCAGCAGGCTGCCGACGCTGGCCGTGAAGGAGGTGACCAGCAGCCCCACGGTGAGCAGGCTGACCGCCTCCGACGGGATGAAGTACACGAAGGCAAAGTGCAGGATCAGCCCCAAGCCTGCCAGCAGGTCGGCTGTGGCCAAGCTGCCGATCAGGAGGAACGTGGGGGCGCGGAAAGCCGGCGTGTAGAAAATGACCACCACCACGATGGCGTTCTCGCAGGAGATGATGGTCCCCGAGATGCAGAGGACAACGTCCCACGGGTTCAAGGCGAGGGGTTGCGCCACAGACTCCAGATCCAGGGAGCTGCCACTGCCATTCCTGGCTGAGAACCAGCCTTGCTGGCCTTCGCTGGAGTTGGGGGGCCCCTTCTCCATCATGGTGGCGGAGGGTGACCTGCAAGAGCAGCCCTTCAGCACCTGCTGTCCACCAGCTGCCCCTGTGCCACCCAGACAGGGGGACTGCCTGCCCCCAAAAGTTGTCTTCAGGAGGGTGGGCAGAGCAGTGGAGGTTGAGGGTGTGCTGGCTGTTGGCTCCGAGGGGATTCTTCTGGATGAGATGGTTTGGTTTTAGAATAAATCGGTGAATAACGGGAAAGGAACACACACACACCACCGCTGCTCATGCCTGCCTTAGCCGCTGGGGGTTGGGCGCTGCAAGATTTTGATGGGTAAATCCAGGGGAGCAGGGCTGGCAGTGGAAAACACCCTGCCCGCGAGGAGTTCGGGGCCAAAGGGAGGGGATCCCAAGCAGCAGGTAACGGGGCGACCCTGTCCCCCCCATCAGCATCCCAGCGGGAGCAGACACCCTCCCATCCCCACCGTGGCATCCCTTCTTCCCCTGGGGGTCTGCTCTCCCGGGCGGGCAGCACAGCGCCTGGGCGGGCTCTGGGGGGCACGGCCGCCCCTCGCCACCGTCCCCGGGCGCGGCGCTGCCCGGTGCCCCCGGAGCCGGGCACTCACCTGCCGGGACGCCGGGCCCCGCTGCCACGGGCGCCGCCGGTTCCAGCGGCGGGGCCGGGGGGCGCCGTGACTCACGGCCCCGCCGCTGCCCGCGTGACGTCACGGCGCGCCGGAGCCAATCAGCGCCCGCGCGGGCAGCGCGGGAGCGCGCGCGCCGCATAGTAATCGCGGCTCATTCATAAAAAACCCGCCCGCGCCCGCCCACGGGAGCAGCGCCCCCACGGGACCCCACGGGACCCCGAGGGACCCCAGGGAACTCCACGGGACCTCAGGGAGCCCAACGGGACCCTGAGAGACCCCACGGGACCCCAGGGAGCCCCACGGGACCCCACGGGACCCCAGAGAGCCCCACGGGACCCTGAGGGACCCCAGGGAACTCCACGGGACCCCAGGGAGCCCAACGGGACCCCACGGGACCTCAGGGAACCCCACGGGACCCCGAGGGACCCCACGGGACCCCAGGGAGCCACACGGGACCCCAGGGAGCCCCAAGGGACCCCACAGGAAACCACGGGACCTCAGAGAGCCCCACGGGACCCCAGGGAGCCCCACGGGACCCCGAGGGACCCCGTGGGAGCCGGGCTACCCCGGGGTTCCGGACCCGGCTGCGGGAGTCCCCCGGGGCCCGGCCCGGCCCGGCCCAGCCTGAGTGCGGCTTTTCGCGGTGCTGAGCGGCAGGACCCGGCCCCGGGAGGGTTCGGAGTGTCCCGGGCACGGGACTGGAGCGGGCACGGTGCCCGGGAGAGCGGGCAGCGAGCGCGGTGCGCTGGGCACAGGCCGGATGCGGGCACACGGTGCACGCAGGTGTGTGCAGGTGTGTGTGGTGTGTGTGGTGTATACAGCGTGTGCGAGTGCACACAGGTGTGTTCACTTATGTACAGGTGTGCACAGATGTGCACAGATGTGCACAGGGGTGCAGTGTGTACAGGTGTGCACAGGCATGCACAGGGGGTGCAGTGTGTGCAGATGTGCACAGGTGCGTACAGGTGTGCACAGGTGCGTACAGGTGTGCACAGGTGTGTACAGGTGTGCAGCCCGTGCAGCCCCGGGTTTCCCACGCCCGATGGGTGTGTGGGTGTGTGGGTGTGTGTGTGTGGGTGTGGGGGGGGGGCACGCCCCCCGTGAGAGACCCCCACGCCCCGGGCCGGGCCCGCCGGGGCGGGGCGGGGCGGGACGAGGCGGGGCCGCCCCCTCCGCCGCCGCCGCCGGGGCCGCCTCCCGCGGGCGCGCATCTGCTCCGCTCCGCTCTCCCGGGAGATCCGCGGACACACCTCCCGCTGGGACCGTGCCGAGCCGGGCCGAGCCGAGCCGGGCCGGGCCATGGCCCCGCCGGGTCCCGGGGCGCTGCGCTGCGCGCTCCTGTGCGCGCTGCTCTGCGCGCAGGGACCCGCTCCCACCCGCGCAGGTACGGCGGGGGCGCGGCGGGGGAACTCGGGCCTTCGCAGCTCTGGGGCACCTGAACTTTTTTGTGGGGGTTGGTTTTTTCCCGGGGGTTCCTCTCGCCCCCACGGGACTCGGTCCCCGACCTCGCTCGGGGGAGAGGGACCCCGCTCCTCTCCCAGCCGTGCTCCGGGGGGCTGGGACCCCCAAGGCCAGGCGGCTGCGCGGCGTGCAGGGTCCAGGCTCCTCCCCAAAAAGTGTGGGGATCGCGTGGACCGCGGTGGGGAGAGGGGAACGGAGCCGTCACCTCCTTCCCGAGGCGCTGCAACTCCGGGCGTTAATTATGCAAACCCCAGGCTTCCTTCTGCTCCCCCGCTCCCATCCCCCGGCTGCTGCTGCAGGGAGACGTTTCCACCCTGACTTATCCCAGCGGGACCCACGCGTGTTCCCAGAGCAGCCCTGGGAGCGGGGCCGCCCTCAGCCGGCCTCTGCTCCCCCTCCTTCCCCTCCCTCCCCACACCTGACGGCAGGAGCGGGAGTTGACAACGCTGGGCTCAAACGTCTGTTCCTGCGCCTGCCGCGATAAAAATAAATTATAAACCTGCCTAAACCCTTGCGAACAAAGTCCTACTTTCCCATTGGCTCCCGGCAGATCTCCAAATGCTGGAAGGGGGGCAGCGGCGTGCCCACCTCCCCCTCCCGTAGCCATGGCAATGGGGCCGCAGCATCTCCGCTTCCTGCCTTACGCCACCAGTTACCGCCTTGGCTTTTCCTGGGAAAGAGGGAAAGGGGCTTTTCTATCAGGAGCACATGGTTTTTAGGGAGCCCCGAAAGCGGGGGGCTCAGTGGTCTCCAAAGAGAAGCGGTGCGGCGGGAGGCGCTGCCGGCAGGGTGCCTTGTGCCCGTTCCGTCCCTGGGGAGCCAGCCCGGGGTACCCCAGCCCTGCCAGGACCCCGAGCCCGGGTCGCATCCAGCGTGGGGAGCGGCTCCCGGCGCTTTCCCGCATGGAGCGAGCGCGGGCAGGGCCCGGCCCAGCTCGGCGCAGCCTCCCTCGCCCACAGCCAGCGCTGTAAATGAGTGATGAGCGAGCGTGGGGGACGAGCGGCCCCGCGAACCCCCGAGTGGCTCACCGGGAACGGGGGTCCCGCGGGGCGGCCTGGCCGGGCAGAGGGGCGGCACGCCCGGGTAACGCCGCCCAGGCTGGCGCTGCCGCCTCGTCCCGTCCCAACCTCGCCGAAAGACCGCAGACCCCGCGCCGGGCCCGGGGGATGTTCCCTGCGCTGTGAGTGATGGGGAGCCCTGTCCCTGCGTGAGCTGGTGGCTGCTGGCAGCCGTGGTCCCCCGGCTGGAGGGCCGGTGATGCCAGGAACACCCCACCGGGACGGGGCTGTTTGGTTTGGGGCCGTGGGATGTGCCTTCGTTCCTCCTGCTGCAGCATCAGAATTGCCCCTCCATGGGGCTGGGGGTCCAGCCCCCACCCACTGCCGCAGGGATGGGTGCTGGCCCTGCCCTCATCACCTTTCCCTGGCTTTGGCAGGAGACTGTGGCAAGCTGAGGTCCTGCGAGGTGTGCACAGCCAGCAGCCACCCCCACAACGGCACCGACTGCGTCTGGGTGGGCTGCGGGACCCCCGAGGAGCCAGGTGAGGGGCTCGGCTGGGTGGGCACAGGGGGGGGCTCTCCTCGGCTCTCCCCAGCCCCTGTCACCGGGCCGGGGCATGCCCGGGTGGCGTTGGCTCTCAGCACCCCCGGATGCCCAGCCCCAGCTGCTTTCAGCATCAGGGTCCATCTCAGCTGCTCACAAAGCCCCTGCTCGGGCTCTGCCCTGCGGGGTGCAGCTCTGGCCCCACTCCCAGCCCCTCGGGTAGATGCCCACCCCTGGCAATGAAACCTCCTCATCCCAACCCCCCAGGCGCCCAGGGCAGCCCTGGGCCTGGACGCCGCTGGCTGCCCTGGGTTGGGATCCCGGGAAAACTCTGCTCCCTCTTCCCGCAGGAGCGGGGAGCTGCGTGCAGAGGGGCTCGGCGGTGCGGGAGACCTGCACACTCTACAACAGCAGCACCCCGTGCCGAGGTAACCGCAGACCCCACAGCCCCCAGACCCTCTGGCCTTTGGCACGGGGCTGCTGCTGCAGGCGCCAGGGCCATGGGGATGAAATCCCACCACCGGGACAGGGACATGGGTTGCAGGGGTGTGTGGCAATGTCCCCTGCCACCCCTTTTACCCCCTTCCCTCTGTCCCTGCCTTCTCTAGCACTGAAGTCTCACACGGAAGAGCCTCCACGATCCCATAGCAAGGAGCCAGTGACACACTCCACAAGTGAGCGGGTCTGGGGAGGGGTGGGAGACAGCGGGATGGGGGTCCTGGATGCCCCAGGGACCAGTGACTTGTCCCAGCAAGGCACGTCCTCTCTAGTTCCCATCCCTTTGGGAGGGATGAGCGGAGCTGCCCTCGGTGTTGGCCACTGGATGTGCCCCTGTCCCCTGTCACAGCCCTGTCCCTTCTCTCTGCTCGGGCAGTGCAGTGGCTCATGGCACCCGTCAGCCCCCCAGGAACAAGCCCTGCTTCCCTCTTTGCTGGGAGCTGCCACCTCCAGCCTGGCTGGGAGCGGAGCAGGAGCCTCTTCCAGCAAGGGGAACTGGAGAGCGCCGGGCTCATTACAGCGGGAAACCGGAGCCTGGAGCTGCTGAATTATTGATCCCGCTGGGATCTTCTTGCTGCTGGCTCCGTTCCTGCAGCTCCAGCTGCTCTGGCAGGGGAAGGGGCTGAGCCCATCCCGGCAGCCACGGTGGGGACATCCCAGCCCCAAGCTGGGAGCTAACACTCCTCCCTGAGCAGCCTGGTTTCTTCAGGACCCCAGATCCCCTCTCTTTGGTGGACACATCTGAACTCAGGGATGCCAACAGCACCCATGATTCCCCAAACGCCCCATTTTCCCTGGCCACCAGGGACCACCACCACCAGTGCCCCGCTGACGGGCAGCCCCGAGTTCCGCCCGCCCGGCTTCGACACGGCGAGTTTCATCGGGGGCATCGTGCTGGTGCTGTGCGTCCAGGCCGTCGCCTTCTTCCTCATCAAGTTCATCAAGTCAAAGGACAGCACCTACCAAACGCTGTAAGGGCCCCGCACGGGATCCGGGATGGAAGGGGGACCGAGCCCCCCAAAGTCAAGCCTGGGCTCACCCTGGGGCATGTCCCGTGCCCCGCTGTGTTGTGTCCCGTGGCTCTTTGTGCCAGTCTGTCCCCACGCCGCAGGGGATGACCTGGGGGATGGAGGGCTTCACACCCCTGCCCGTCCCCTCGCCGCTGTCCGGCTGTCCTGCCTCCTCTGTCTGTCCCTGTCTGGCTGGGTCCTGGCTCCGGGCCCCGGATCTGTCCCTGGGAGCTGGCAAGAGCTCCCGCTGCTGTCCGGGACCGCCGTGTCTGACGTGGGGGCCGTGCCCCCTCTCTTTCCTTCCACGCTGCCAGAGAGGACAACCAGTAGGTTCTGGGTGCCGGTGGCCCTGGGGAGGGGGCGTCCCCCTGCACCCCGCAGCTTCACCCTGGCCTGGCACCTCCCCGGGCAGAGGGGGGCGCGGGCCCTCCCTCCTGGTGTGCATGACGGGTGTTTCCCAACCGGTTTTGCTGTTTCCTGCGAGTTGTTAGGGATGGAAAGGAAGGGGGTCCCCCCTCGCCCCCTTTCTGGCACGGAGCCCCTCAGGGGGCAGCCCCTCACAGCCCCTTCTGCCACCCGGGTGAGGTGCTCCCAGTGCCCCCAGCCTCACCCTGAGCCTCTTTGACAGCACAGGGACTGCAGGGCTCCCAGTTTGGCCCAGTTTGGCCCCAGCAGCCCCCTCCCACTCTCAGCACCCCTGCCCCACTGCCTCCCCACAGCCTTGAGGCTCCTGGGGCCAGGGGGACCCTCTTGCCCTCGTGGACTCCTGGGTGCTTTTCCCTCTGGCATTTTGGCTGGAGCACCCACCCTGGCGTGACACCCCCCGTGCCCCCCAGCCCCCCGTGCCTGAGGAGCGGAGCCAGGGCCTTGCTGTGTGCTTTTGCTGTGCCTCTGTGTGCTCTGGGGGGGCTTGGGGGGTTCCCTCTCCCCCACCCTCTTTCTGTGTGCTGTTTTGGGGAGGGGGCTGCGTGTCGTGTGCTGTGGGGTGACACTTGTTTCTCGGGCTGCCCCCCATTAAACTCTGCCAGGTGGTCTTTGTGTTGTGTCGGGGTTGCTGTGGCTGGGGGGGGTGCAGGGGATCCCCCCTCCCTCCAGGGCAGTCCAACCCTCCCCCATGGTGTGGGTGGGCACCGGGACACCCCCGGCACCCCCTCCCCAGGGGCTGCGAGGGGCTGGGACCCCCAGGGGAAGCCCCCAGGACCTTTCCTGCTACTCTCCTCTCTGTCCAACGCACCAGGATCTGAGGTCCAGGCTGGGGGGCCGTGTCCCCGTCCTCCCCAGGTGAAGAGGCCACTGCTGGTGTCCCCCTGCCCGCGGCCGGACTGTCCCCGCTGCACGGCCCCAGCACTGCACAAAGCCGGGCACGGGGGGACCCCCGGCCCGGGGATGCTCCGGGCTTTGTGCCCTCCGGGGCTTTGTGCCCTCGGCTGCTGCCAGGGCTGCAGCTGGCATGGGGGGCCCATCCCACCGGAATTCCACCCTCGGCCCCCACCCTGGGCTCGCCCAGGGCACCAGGGCATCCAGGAATTGGAGGACACGTGGCCATGGGTGGCCGTGGGGGACCCTTTGCTGGCCCCAGCCCCACACCGGGCAGAGCCCGAGCTGGAATGGGGGGGCAGAAACCAATAAAGGATTTTCCTGTAAGTCCTGGTGTCCGTGTTGCTGTCACCCCGCAGCCCCAGCAGCGGCGCTATTCCCGGAGATTGTGGTTGCAAATTGGGGGTTTGGCTGTTCTGCCCACAGGGTGGGATTGGTGGGCGGCCCCAGGTGACTCCAGCCCTCCCAGTGACCGGTGACTGGGGAGCAGGGGGGGTGTCCTGGTGGGACAGGGCAGCCCAGTTTGGCAGAGCTCCTGGCAGAGCACTGCTCCCCCATCCCCGGGGCTGCGACAAGGCCACACGCAGGGGCTGGCAGGATGGTGATGGAGGGCACAGCCCCACGCTGGGAGCACTGGGATGCAGCAGCTCCAGCCCCACGGCCGAGGGAGAACTCAGGGTACGGTGGCCAGTGCAATAAACAGCCGCCAGATGTGCTCACAACAATAAAAAGCTGCCAGATGTGCCCGCCGGTGCCACTTCATTGCTGCTGGAAGGGGAGGGCACAGAGCCAGCCCGCACAGTGCCCCCGGGTGCCCAGGCTCGGATCCCGCTCCAGCTGGTCCTGGGGCTACGCCCGGGGGACCAGGTTGGTGCGCAGCGGGAGCAGCGCCTCCACCCAGCGCCCGGGCTGCTGCAGCAGCCGCCGCCACACGCCCTGCTCCTCGGCCGTGGAGTCCATCCAGCCCACGGGCAGCCCGTAGCTGCTCCCTGCGGAGAGAGCGCCCGTCAGCCCCGCGCGGCGCCGGGCACCCCCGGGGCCGCGCCCTGCGCCTCACCCGTGCCCAGGCTGAGCCGGATGCCGCCCAGCTGGCGCTTGGAAAAGGCTTCGTGGTGCCACAGGGTGAACTCGGCGCACGCCTCGGCCAGGTCCTTGGCCTGGAAGCCGTCGTACACCATGGTGTGGTTGAAGAGGGGGTTCAGGCTCCGCTTCACCACCCGCGTCTTCTGCCGGCTCGCCTTGCTGTCATCCGGCAGCACGTAGCTGGGGTGACACTGGGGTGAGGGGGGGACGCCCCAGCTGCCCCCCCGGGCGCCCCCGGCGTCACCCCCACCCTTACCACTGCACGAAGGCGTCCACAGTGCCGCTCTGCAGCGGGACGAGGCTCTGAGCATCCTTCACCCAGATGTGCAGCTCGCCCGTGGGTGGCATCCCCCCTCCTGCGGGCCAGAAGGGTCAGGGGCACCCTGCCATGCCGGACCCCCGCCTGCCCGCGGGCCCCTCTCACCTTCCGAGCCGGCGGGGATGAACTTCAGCGCCAGGTTGAGGTGGCCGCGGCTGGCGAGGCCGTCCGAGGGGATGGGCATCTGCGGAGGACGGGGGGTCAGCGGGGCAGCGCACGGACAGGGGGCTGGGGAGGTGAGCAGCTCACCCGCGGCTGGAGACTGAACCACTCGGGCCGCGTGTTGGCCCAGTCCCAGGTGCCCAGCGCCACCTCCACCTCCCCCAGGAAGAGGTTCCTGCCCAGGCTGTCGTGGTGCCACACGGAGAGGTTCAGGGTCCGGCCCTGCAGGTCCCTCTTCTCCAGCTTGTACTGGTGGGGAGGGGACACAGGGTGAGATGACCCACCCCCACCCATCCCACTGGAACCACGGGGACCTCCAAACCCACCCAAAGGAGGGTTAGGAACCTTGAGGGTCTCATTGAAGACGGGGTCCAAGCTCCTCTTCCTCACAGCGGTCTTGCGCTTGCTGCGGTTGGACTTGTCCGGCAGCAGGTAGGTCTTGACGTACCTGGGGCCAAAAACCGAGGTGGGGCAGCGGGGCCAGGGGCATCCCCTGGGCGGTGCCAGCGGGGGCTGGGGCACTCACGGGTCCGAGCGCTGCTTCTTGGCCTCGGCCAGCTCCCGGCAGCGCAGGACGTGCACCTGCAGCTCCTTGTCGGCCGGCTGGTAGCGCAGGGAGAACTGCACGCAGCCCCGCACGGCCACCCTGCCCAGCTCCCCCTCGCTGTAGAGGCTCATCAGGCTCCCGCTCAGCTGCGGGACACAGGCGGGGCGCTGGGGAGGTGCCCTCTGCCCCCTGCCCCTGCCCCTGCCCCTGCCCCTGCCCCTGCCCCCTGCCCCCTGCCCCTGCCCCTGCCCCTGCCCCAGCCCCAATTCCAGCCCCAATCCCAGTCCAGTCCCAGCCCCAGTCCCAGTCCAGCCCCAGCCCCAGCCCTGTACCGTGGAGGAGCTGAGGCTGGACACAGAGGAGCTGGTGCTCAGCAGGCTCGGGGCAGCGTGGCCGTTCTGTGAGGACAGTGGGTCTGGGGGGTTCTGGTCCGCCTGGGGGGTCTCTGGTCCCTGGAAATGCAGAGGGGTCAGCACCCCCCAGGCCCGCTGAGGACACCCAGCAGTGCCTGGTGCTTGGCTACTGCCCACGCTGTGCTGGCTTTGTTCAATCCCGCCAGGTCCCCAAAACCCCACACACCCCCTCCAAAACTCCTTACAGCCCTCTCCAGCCCCCCCCAACCCCATGTAGCCCCCCCTCAATTCCATGCAGCCCCACCAACCCCCACAGCACCCCCGGCCCACCTGCCCAGCGTTGTGGCTGCCGTGAGCCAAGCCCGGCTCCTCCTCCTCCTCATCCTCATCCTCATCCTCATCCTCATCCTCATCCCCCTCGGTGCTGGACGAGCCAAAGGAGGTGCCACCCCCCGTGCCACCTGCAAGGACAAGGGCTGCGTGGGGGTCCAAGCCAGCAGGGCTGGGCAGGAGGGGGATCCTGATTTTGGCCAGAGCAGCGAGGTGCAGGGCTGGGGGCTGCAGGGCTGGGGGGCTCCAGCCCCCAGCCCTCCACAGCACCGACCCCCACCCCGTTTACCTGCCTGGGCCGGGCTGTGCTGCTCCCTCGCTGGGATGTCACCCTGCAGCACGGGCTGTGACCTCGGGGTCCCCTCTGCAGCCGGGCCGGGGGCGCTGGGCTGGGAGGGAAAGGCTGAGAAGGGACCCGGGCACCCCCTCCTCCCCCAGCTGCTGCCCCCAGCCCAGCCCACTGCGTTCCTGGGACAGGATGAGGGATGACCCACAGGACACCCCGTGGGACATTCTGTGGGACGTTTCCCGTCACTCCAAGCGCAGCACAACCTGGGGATGGCGCTGGGGGTGCTGCAGGGTGAACCCCACCCAGCACCGGGGTTCAGGTACTGCTCAAGCCCCCCACCAGGGACCCACCTGGGGCTCAGCGGCCTCCTGCACCTCCTCTGGGGGGGAACTGCGGGAAGAGACCACCATTAGTTTGGTCTAGATGGAGGGCAGCCAGACACCAGCACAGCGGGAGACACTGGGGTAATGGATGGACAGACGGACACTGGGATGGTGGGCAGAATGCTGGGATGGTGGAAACCAGACCCGGAACGATGGGATGAAGGGCAGACACCAGCCCTGGCTGCACCATCCCCTCCACCGGGGGTTCTGCCCCCCTCCAGTTCCCTTGTGCCACCCCCGGTGGGTACCTGTGAGACGCCCCCAGCCCCGGGGCACCCATGGGGTGACACCCCCTCCCCTCACCTCTCGTCCATCTCCAGCGCAGCATCCTCATCCTCCTTCTCCCCTGCCAGCGGCTCATCGATGGCCTCCAGGCCGGGGCCGCGCTCCGGGTCCCCGGCTCCTGGGGACAGCGGGGAGCTCAGGGGCCGAGCCCCGGCCCCGCGGGCCCCGCGCCCCCGCCGCCCCTCGCCTACCCCGGGGCCGCCTCCGGCGGCGGATGGAGGCTCGGACCAGGTCGGAGCCCAGGCGGGGCTGGTGGCGCTGGGCCCGGGCGTCGCAGAACCAGTCCCCGGTGAGGCTCCGCAGCCGCGCCGGGTCCGACACCGACTTGCGGAGTTTGCTGGGGGCGGCAGGGGGACGCTGGGACCCCCGTCCTGCCCCGGAGCCCTCCCGGCCGGCGGAGCCGCCCCAGCAGCGCCTGGGGGACCCTCGGTGCTGCCGTGACAAGCCCGGCTGAGCTCAGGGTGACCCCGAGCCAGGGACCCCCGGCCCACCTGATGCGCCCCTCCTCTCGGCGGCGGAGCTGCCAGTCCCGCTGCAGCACCCGGGCGATGGAGCTCCGCTCCTCCTCGGTCAGGAAGCTCAGGTCCAGCAGCGCCTCGGGCTCCGGCGCCATGGGCGGCTCGGGGGACAGCCCGGGGCCGGCCCGCGGGGCCGGGCCGTGCTCAGCGGGCCGGGCGTGCAGCAGCGATGCCAGCATCGGGACGGGCAGCCCGGCGCCGCTGGGGAGGATCGGCCCCGCTCATCCCGCTGGAAGGACGAGCGGGGAGCGGCTCAGCCGCGCCCTGAGCGCCCCGCGGCCCCCGCGGCGACACGAGGAGCGGGACGAGGCTGGGGGCCAGGGGAGGGCACGGGCGGCCGGGCCGGGGCACCGGGCGGCTCCTCCCGCTGCCGGCTCCGTGCCACGGAAGGGCACCGGCAGCCCGAGGCCGGGCTGGGGCACCGGGCCGCTCCTCCCGCTGCCGGCTCCGTGCCAGGCCGGCCCTGCCCGCGGCCGCTGTTTGCCCGGCGTGTTTGCTCAGGGCTGGCTCTGCCCCTGCCCGCTTTCCCAGAGATTGCCCGGCTGCCAGGGCACACGGACAGATGGCAGAAGGGGCTTGGCTGCCCCCACGATGGGCTGAGCCCGAACCAGGCTGAGCCCGTACTCAGCTCATCACATCTCCCAGAGGGGTCTTGCCCCATGCCCGGCCTGCCTCACCACGGCCCTTCCTGTCCCCGGCGTTGGGAAAGCGCTGCCGGCTGTCACCGAGGGCAGGAAATTGCAGCAGCCGTGGGGCAGGATCAGCCCGAACCCCCCCGGGCACACCCCGGGCACACCCCAGGCTCCTGGGCACCCACAGAGCCAAGCCCTGGGGTGTCCCACCTCCACCAGCGGCCCTGTCCCCAGCCCCAGAGGTGACTCTGACCCCGCCCCACGGGTGGCCCCGTCCCAGCCTGTCCCCAGCCCCTCGGAGGGTCCCCTCCCTGCCCCACGGGTGCCCCTGTCCCAGCCCCGGGCCGTCAGCCCAGGACCTGAGCACGGTGGGTGCCAACCCCGCCACAACCCGCAGCAAACCAGCACCAGGGACCCCCCACCACACACAGGGGAACCCCAAAACCCCCCGCCCCCCTCGGGGCAACCTGGGACACGCCACCACCCCGGCATCGCCCTGGGAGGGGTCTCGGGGGGCACGAACCGGCTCTGCCGGGGGCTGGGGTGATGCTGCCGCTGTCTCCCCGCCGCAGCCGCTCGTATCCTGTTTACTGCCGGCGCACGGGGGGGTCCCCGCCCCCCGGAACAGAGCCACCACCTAAAAATGTCACCTAAGCCTGAGCCGGGCGCTGCTGCGGTGCCCAGCTCCCTGCGCGGTCCCCAAAACCGAGCCGTGAAAAGCAGCACAGCCCCGCCGGGGCGCAGAGGGGTGCTGGGCACCCGGCCCCCCACCCTGCACGGGGACCAGTCAAACCAGTTCAACCTCCCCGGCAAGCCGCAGCTGGGGCTTGCACGTCCCCCTTTTTTCATTGCAGGCAGCCCGGCAAGATGGAAGGGAGCTCCAGACGGCGTGAAACACCCCGCACGCCCCCTCCCCAAAATGCACCCCCGGCCAGCCCCTCGTGGCTGACCCCCAGAGCCCCCCGGGCGATCCCAGCCGCCCGGAGCACAGCCCAGGGCTGCCCGAGCCTCCTCCCAGCCCCGGGGACCCCATCAGGGGTTCGGACCCCGGCCTCTGTCCCAGCCTGGGACAAGACAATTCACCCCAAAGGCGTGGCCCGGAGCCCCCGGCCCGGGCCGCGGGGGTGTGCAGCCCCCCGGGCGGGGCGAGAGGAGCCGGGCCAGCCCCCCGCAGTGGGCGCAGCCCCCCGGGCCCGCTTACCTGCCCAGGTGTGGGGTCTCCGCGGCTCGGCGCCCCTCGGGGACCGCGGCGGGTGCCCCGGCCGGTGCCGTGCCCGGGCTGACTCCGCCGCAGCCCTGCGAGCGCCTCCGCGCCCGGCGGCACGAAAGCAGGGACTGGAGCCAGCAGCACCCGGCGGACGGGGCTGAACTGGGCTGAACTGGGCTGAACTGGGAGGCGTCAGCGCCTGGGAAGGGGTGGCGCAGTGCGGATGCGCCCCGGGACAGGGGGACCCCGAGCCCGGTGGAGACTCGAAGCCAAGGGTGTGGGCGAGGGGATGGGTGGGAGATGTCCCACCCCGGTGTCACACGGGGGCCTGGGGGCAGGACGTGGCTCTGGGGGAACTGGGGGAGCGCCTGGGCTGCCCTGGGGGAACTGGGGAGACTGGTCTGAGCTGGGCATGGGGGAGCAGTACACCTCCCCCTGCAGCCCCCCGCCCCAACAGCCCAGTGGAGCAGCAGCAGGTCCCCGGGGCTTTGTGGGACCCCATCCCCCAGGGTGTCCTCGGCTCCACAGCCCCCATCCCAGAACGCGTTCCCAGCCCACGGGACGGCCCCAGCCCCCTCCTCAAAACCTGGTTCCCCCCATCCCCTCCCACCCCCACCCCACGGCTCCCCCAGCCCCACAACCCCCATCCTGCCAGCAGCAATGCCCTCCTGCTCTGAATGGCCGGGGGTCCTGAGCACCCAGCACCTCCCTGGGTGCTCAGCCCCACGCAGGATGGGGCCAGTGGTGCCAGGCGGGGATACAGCCCAGGCAGGAGCAGCACAGCAGGCCCTGTGCCTCAGTTTCCCTCAGTGCCAGAGGGAGAGCAGCTGGCTGGGGGTGGGGTTCAGGCTCCCCCCATCTTTAATGTGAGATGGCAGCACTTAACGAGCGCAGGACCGCAAGAAAAGGGGATTATTTTTAGCCTGGTTTGTCAGGAAATGAGACTTCAGCAGAGGCTTCGTGTGTCTGTCCGTGGGCCACTCCCCTCCTCCCCTTGCAGGCCGCTCAGCTCGGGTGGGGGGGTCCCAGAGGAATGGGACCCCCGCGATCCCAGGGGTGTCCTGGGAATGCAGCCAGGCCTCTGCAGAGGGACAACGCTGTGAGGACTCCAGAGTCCCCACAGGGCTTCTCGTGGGCCGGGGGCGCAGCTCTGGGTCCCCCCAGGTGGCACCAAGGCCTTTCTGGGCAGCCTGGACCCTTTGCTCCTGCAGCATCCAGAGCGAGGAGCACTCCTGGGACAGAGAAGGTGTGGGGAGGAGCGGGACACGTCCTGCCGTGTGTCCCACCCCAGCCCTGGGGGCCCAGAGGTGCAGCGGGTTTGCTGGGTCTCAGAGGACAGAGGACAGAGGCTGCAGCAAGCCGTGACCCCCCGGAGCAGCCTGGGCACAGCTGAGCCGGTGCCAGGCCAGCCTCGGGCACGGTTTCCTTGCCGGCGGCTCCGGAGCGGCCCCGGTGCAGGTTCTGTCTCCCTTCGGCGCCGCGTGGGCAGCCGGAGCGAGTCCCGGCCTGCTCCCAGCCCTCCTCCCCTGCAGGACCTGCTCCTCAGGTCCGGGAGGAACAGGCAAGTCTGCCTCTCCCGGGGGAAACCGAGGCAGGAGCGGGCACTGGAGCGCGGGCAGAGGCCCGGCAGCGCGGTTTTGGGCGGTGGGGAAGCCCCTGCAGCACAGCACCCTGGTTTGGACACTGCTGCGTGTCTGCCCAAAGGCATGGGGCACCTGGGCTGGTCCTCCCCTGGCAGCTCAGCCTCCCGTGCCCTCTGCCAGGGCACGTCGGTGTGGCACTCAGCGCTCCCTGGGCTCGCAGGAATGGTGCCAGCTCCCCCTGGGACAGACCCCAATTCTCCCTGGGACGGACCCCAATTCTCCCTGGGACGGACCCCAATTCTCCCTGGGGCTGGGGGCCCTTTGCTTGCACCTACTTGTAATTTTTTACTTCAAATCCCTACAGCAGAGCAGGGACCTCGAGGAGCTTCCAGCTGTGGCTCTGGCCAGGAATGACATTCAAGGCCTGGCTGGGAGGCCAGCGCTGGGTCTCACACCCCCTCCCCTCCCCTGCCTGGGAAACAGTGGGGATGCACAGCCCGGGGGGCACGGATATCGCTCCTGGGGGAGCCCTTTGATGCACCCCCCAAAGGGGGTGACCCTGGGACCCCTCCCCTCCGGCCAGCTGCCGAAAAGTGACCCCACTTCAAAGGCGGCTCCGGGCGGGGACGGAGGTCGGGGACCCCGGGCGGGGTCGGTCACAGCCAGGCGAGCGGCGGGGTCACTCCGGGAGGGGGGCTCAGGCCATGTGGCAGCTGGGACGGATGCTGACATTCCATCCTGCAGCATTCCCGGCTCCCGGGGCTGGGCCGGAGCATCCGAGCGGGACTGCCCGGCACGCCCGGCCCGGCTGCTCCCCCCAGGCCCCACGTTCCGTGACCGGAGCGCCCCACACATCCCGTCAGACCCCCGAGCTCCCGGAGCAGGAAGGAGGTTTGGAAAATCCTGCCAGGCTGGGAGGCGGGGAGGGACCCTGCAGTGCTGGGGTTCGGCATCCCCACCTCACCCTGGGGTGCCGGGGTTCGGCATCCCCACCCCACCCTGGGGTGCCGGGGCTCGGCATCCTCACCCCACATTGCGGTGCCGGGGCTCGGCATCCCCACCTCCCCTTCCCGCGGCAGATGTGTGCGGGACGGAGCCTGCGGAGCCGCCTGCTTGCCTGGAGGGGCTGAGCAGGAGGATCCAGGTGTTTTTCCATGAAATGGCTGCACCATGAAATCCCCTGGCCTCGGACACAACCTAATTTTAAGGCTGATGCAGTTCCTCCCCGCAGCTCCAGCCTCTGGATATCAGATGGAGCAGAAAATCAGCGGCTACATCTGCAGTGAGCAGGCACAGCTTTCCCTGCTCCCAGCTCAGGCAGCAGCTCCTGCTGGGAGAGGGAAAAGCCAGCCTGGCTCTTTGCTTGTGGCAGCCCCAGGGCCAGGACAGGCGTCCCTCCCCGGGGAAGAGGGGGGCTCCGGGCTGGGAAGGAAAGGGAGCTGGGAAAGCAGTGCCTCCCAAAAAAAGGCCACAGCACAGACAAAAGGGAAGCTGTTCACAGCTGAAGGGAACCGGCCTCGGGGAAAAGCATCTCCCAGCCCGGAACACTTGGCAGCCCCTGCCCAGGCGTCGAGACCCGGCATTAAATCCCACAAACTCTTCCTGCACTGCAGGGACGGGGAATTCTCCTGCCCCCCACACCTCCTTCCCAGCAGCAGGGTTGAGTCTTCCCTGGAGCAGGGAAAGGGCAAGTTCATAAATCAAAAGTGTGAAAGCTTCAGGATCCAGCTCCTTGGGGCAGGAGAGGGGCCAGGGCTCAGTGGGGCAGGGAGCTCCGACCCCAAACCCACTCGGCTGAGGGCTGGGAGCAGGCGAGAGATGCAGCACTTGCAGATATCCACAGAAATCAGTTTATTTCCCTGCCGTCGGGATTATGAAACCACAGAAGCAGAGTTTAAATATTTACAAAGAAATCCAGCGCCCCGCAGAGATGAAGGGAACAAAGGATGAGGGATGGGGGCTCGCCCTCGCCATTGCAAACTCCGCTCTGGTAAAAAGCATCGGGAGCAAACGAGAGGGAATTTCACAGTGGGGTTTTGGAAGTCCAGGGGCCCCCCGACACCCCCAAGTCTCAGCTTTGGCAATTCTCGCAGAGCTCGTGGATAAAACACGGCTGGGGAGGACGGAGGGGCTGGAGGTTATTGCTGAGGGTGGATCCAGCCCCGGGAATCACCTGAACTCAGCGCACAGGGAAAGCGTTCCGGAAGGCTCCGAACTTTCATCCAGGCTCTCTGACGGGGATTTCGGCGGCCCAGCAGCCCCAGCCCCCGGCCCAGCTGCCCACGCAGGAAGGAAGGACTGCAGGGAGAGATGCTTCAGCTCCAGGCTGATGGGGACAGCCACCATGGGGTGACAGAGGGACAACAGGGACCAGGATTTAAACGTGACTGAGGAAAAGGGGAAACACAGGAACAAGCTCAGGAGGAGGCTCCAAGCCTCCCACATGGCTGCAGGAGTGGGAAGTGGCAGAGGCACTGGGGAGGGGTCTGCAAACCACACTGAGTGCACCCTGCAGTCAGAGGAAGCTGCAGATGTGCCAGGGACCCCAGAAAAGCTTTCCTGCTGGCCACAAGCACTCCCTGCAATGGATTCCTTGGAACCCACCAGGTCCTGGGCCAACGTGTGAGTGGAGAAGCTCTTCTCCCCGCTCTGCAGTCAGCAGGGACCCGCTCAGCTGCAAGTGACCCTTCACCAGGCTGGGCTTTCAAACTCCCCTGGCTCAGAGCCCTCCAAAATCAGCACCCGCAGAGCAGACCCAGCTGCAGAAGGGCTTCCAGGTCACATCCAAACTCCCTTCCTGCCTCAGGGGCAACCCCCCCATGGCCCATCCTGCCCCTCACACCAATCCCTGCACAGCTCCTGTGCCCAGGTGTGCTCTCCAAAGCTCCCCAAACCATTCCTCAGTCACCACCCACGACCAGCCAGGAGAAAGCCACTGCCCCAGTTTGCCCAGTCCCTGCAGCTCCCTCTGCAGCTCCAGGCTCGGGTGCAGCTCCCAGAGGTTTCCCAGCCCCAGGCTCAGGCTCTTGCCCCAGCTGTGCCTGCTGGGAGCACGGGGATCAAAGGGAAACGAGCGCCTCTGGGGGCTGCAGCGCCAGATTTAGCAACACAGGGCCCAGGGAGAAGCAGGGAAGTGATATTTTCTCTGGCACAAGCTAAAAGGGACCGAGGGCTGCTCCTGAAGCTGCAGCAGGCTCCTGAAGGGTGCACCCTGCCACGAGCCTTCCCAAGGCAGCCCTCCAGCTTTCCTGCCTTTCCAGGCTCCCCGGCAGGACCAGGGGGACCGGCCCTGCCACGAGCGTCCCTCAGGATGCCCCAGCTCAGCAGCCTCTGCCTGGGGCCGTGGCCGAGTGCTGGGGCACCCCACCCTCCCAGAAGACCCCCCCACTTCCCTTGGAGCGTGTGCTACTGGAGAGATGTGCACAGGGAAAACAGCAGCTCCCAACTGGAGAGCCAGGGGACCTGAGGAAGATCTGGGGAAGAGGAGGAAAGCAGAGAGACCCTCCCAAGTGCATCGCTGCAGGAGGCAGAGCTCGCCTGGAGGCTTTTCTTGGCACTGAAAGCAAAGGTGCCCACCCCTCTCCTTTCCTGATCCCATTCCCACCTCCCCAGCTGCAGGAAGGCAGAGGGCAGAAGCTTCCAGGCCCCTGACACTGGGAGAGACCATCGACAGAACAGAAACAGGAGGAAAAGAAGCCAGCTCCAGGAGACGAAGATGAGCTGTCACGATGGAGTGGGGCTGCCACCTCCCCTAGAAAAGGCTCCCAGAGTCCCAGGCCTCCATCCTGCTGCAGCAGTCCCAGTTTCTTCCTTTGTGTGCTCAGGCACTGGGGGTCAGGGCTGCCATCACCGCAGGTGCAGGGTGAGAACCACGGTCACAATCACCCCCAGGAAGAGCACAAAGGGCAGCCAGGTCTTCACAAAGCCCCCTATGCTGCAGGAGGGAAAGGGGGGAAAGTCTGTGTGAGAAACCAGCAGAGACAAAAGGATGGGGCAATAACTGCAGGAATCAGAGGGGGACAGATGCCTGACTGTTACCTGCTGCTGGCACTGCCACACACCCCATCCTGGAAATTGGTGTTAAAACCTGAGACTCACTCAGGACCACAATAAATATATCACAAACAACAGGGCTGGAGTCTCCTTCCAGCTTAAATCAAGTCAAAGACAAGCCCATTTCATACCTGCACAGACAGGAATGGTGACAGGAGGCCACAAAAAATGAAACCATTACCACAGGGCTTGTCAATCCGACTGCTGGTGGATTCAGCCAAGACAGCTGGAGCTATCCTTGCCCACAAGCAGGTACAGAAGCTCTTCCAGAACAGGGAAAACTCCACAGAAGTGGAGCTTCAAAAGCCTTTCCTTAAGGAAAGCTCGGGGTTTCCCTCCCCACTCCAGTGGGAAGCTCCACAGCAGCTGGAAATCAGACCAGTTTTTATGTAAACAAGCTTCAAGAGAGGAGAGGGAAACCAGTAATGCTTGGAGAGAAGCCATCCTGTGACCTTATGTTCCGACCTAACCCAGCCAGAAGACAACACAGAATGAGATTTGCTTTAGCCAGCATTTCCCAAATTCCAGGCACTCCAAATTAGCAGCCAGAAACAGTATTTTGGGAGCAGCATCTAGTGCAGCCCAGCAAGCACTCCTGCTTCTCTTGCTGAGCACAGGCAGTGACAGCACCACCCACCAGCAACACTCCCATGGCTTGGGGGAGGTTTCTCCTTCTCCAAGGGCCAGCTGATGCTTCAGAGGGCTCAGGAGAAGGAAAGAGCCCCTTCTGCTGCCGGATGCAGGCTGTCCCTCAGCTCACCTGACGTATTTCCCATAGAGGAGTGTGAAGAAGCACAGTTTCACCATGTTCCAGGAGGTGCTGTTATCGTATCTCATCAAGTTTAAGGCCAGAGCCACGTGGGAATGGCAGTTGTCACAGCAAAGGTTGTGCTGGAACACAAAAAGGGATTAAATTCCCATCCCTGAGGTCTCCCAGTCCTGGGGGAGAGCCACAGGTCCCACCCCCGTGGCAAGGAGCCAAACACTGGGGAGGGATCCCTCCCAACCACTGCAGAGATACGGAATTGTGGAACAGTTTGGGTTGGACGGACTTTAAAGCTCCTTGCTCCAACCTGGCCTTGACCATTTCCAGGGAAGGGGCATCCAAATGTCTCTGGGAACCCCCTGGAGCCCCGGGGCGCTCCCTCCCTCCCGCAGGCAGCAGCTCTACCATGCGGTGCTTGTACTCCTCGGAGGCGTCGTGCACGGCCGTGTCCCAGGCGTTGGGACCCGAGGCACAGACCTTGCTGGGATCCAGCTTCCAGTACCTGCAGGGTGACAACAGTTCCCTTTGCCTTGCTGCACTGCTGCGGCTCCCAGGGCCTGCTCCTGCCAGCAGCAAGAGGAATCAGCCTCCGAGGAGCCACGAGCACCCTGGAGTCCAACTCCTCGCCCTGCCTGAAGGACTTGGGCAAACCCAGCGCCTCTGGAAGGCAGGAAGCCAGCTCTGGGAGACGAGCAGGGCTGTAGAAAGGCTGCTCAGCTCCCCAGACAGAAATCCCAGAGCTCGGGGACAGCCTGAGCTGCTCCCAGCTCCCGGCCTGACCCGGCACACACCCGGCCCTCTCCTGCCCCAGCAGTGACACACGGCAGCGACCTGAGCCCAGCAGCCCAGCCAGGCTGGGTGCACCCACAGCCCCCGGGAGCACCATCCCAGAACGGTGCAGCCTTCTTTTCCTTTCCTCTGACAAAGGCTCCACACAGCTCTGCTTATTAACACCACCACGCTGCTGCCATGCTGCTAAAAAGATTTAATTGAATGTGTTTCCTGAAAAGCAGAGACACAGCGGCCACCAAGGTGAGTGAGGGCAGCTGAGCACCAGGAAAAGCAACGTCACAGCACGTCTGTCCTCAGGAACTGCGGGCAGTTGGTCAGTCTAATACAAACAGGCAGCACTTACTTCACAGGCTTCCCAAATGCCATGTTATCTTCCTGAAAAAAACAAAAAGAGAATTGTCTCAGGGGGCTGAAGCCAACATTCAGGGCGGTGCTGGAGGTCTCTCAGTTGGCTGGCTGAGTGATCCAGCTGCCCCAGACACCAGTCCCAGTGTGCCGGGGTGAGGAGTCCCGTTGTTTCCATGCTCCTGCTCTGGACTGGGCACCTTTACACTCCACACACGCTGACATCACTGACCTACAAGTGCCTCGTTCCCCTCCCTTTTTTTGTTTTAAGTGTCAATATTTTGTAAACTCTTGGCTGCAAATGTCCCAGTCTATTAGGAGCATTAATTATCCCAGATACTTTCAGAATCCCCTGGACCCTCAGCAGCTTAAGAGGCCTGACACACACCTGATGCTGAGCAGCACGACACAAACAACCACGCTGAGGCAGCTGAAGGCACTTCTGCTACTCAGATTTAGGAGAATTTGAGTCCTAAACTCCTTATTTAGAGCCTGGAACGCAAGGGTTTTTTTCCCCCCCTTCTCCTCACCAAACCAGCCATTATTTATCAGGCCCCCAGATGAGCTCCAGTGGAGCAACAGCAAGGATCCCAGAGCCCGAAAAGCCCCTGGGAAGGCCCTGAGGGTGTTACTCGAGCAGAAGGCAGGGCAGGGTACTCACGGACACGAAGTAGGGCCCCGCGAAGTCGCGGATGACGCCGGCCGAGGTGCAGATGCCCATGTGGCCAATGATGGGGAACAGCCACCTGCAGGACAGGGACCCGTCAGGGGGGCCGGGACACACAGCCAGGCAGGGCTGGGAGGGGCCAGGGCGCAGGGAGAGCACCAGGGGAGCGTCCCAGCCGCCCCGGCAGGAGGCTGCAGGAGAACAGCTCACCCCGGAGCGCCCTGCACGCAGCAGGGCAGGGACGGGCCAGCCCAGCCCAGCAAACCCCTCTGTGCAGCCAAGCACAAAGATCAGATCCTGCGGGGACTGCAGGCAGAAAACCGGACTTTCCACTCCAGCAGCCAAAAACCAGGTCACCCTGCCCACCAACCCACCACGCTGCAGCTCCCCACAGCAGCCCAGAGCTCGGCTCCCAGACAGAAACCAGAGCTCCTGGCTCCAGAACAGCTTTCCCTCCTCTAAAAGATCCCACTGTCTCACAGACCTTCTCCCTGGTGATGATTACAGCCCCAGGGAGCAGCAGACCCATATCCCAGCCCCTTCCATCACCAGACCTCATCCCAGACCCTTTCCCTGTCAGACCCCTATCCCAGCCCCTTCCCTCACCAGACCTCATCCCAAACCCCTTCCCTGCCAGCCTCGTCCCTCACGACCCCGCAGCAGTGAACACTCCAGGTCCCACTCCAGCCCTCTCCCACTGGCTCCAGCACTCTCAGCTTCCCTCCTCTCCCCGATTTCCCTCTCCTCTCTCCCTGAGGGCCTGAGTGGCTCTGGCAGCTCCCTTCAGCACTCCCCGCTGGGGTCAGGAATGTGGAAAAGCTCTGGAAAAATCCTCCAGCAAAAGGCTGAGGTGAAAATTTTAAGCAGTCAAAAAAGAAAAGAGATTCAGGAAGATAAAAGAAGCGGTGGGAGGGGAGCGAAGCCTCTCCCGGGCCGTTCCCGTTCCCGTTCCCGTTCCCGTTCCCGTTCCCGTTCCCATTACATCCCACGCCACATCTTGTACCGGGCTCAGGAACAAGAGCAAACACCCCCGAGGAACCGCGGGCAGTGGGAATCTGGGAACCCGCACAGCCGCAGCCTTCCACCCTCCCACGGCCGGAGCCGAGCCCCCGGCTGTCCCCGGTCCCGGGGTGCACGGAGCCGGTCCCGGGGTGCACGGAGCCGAGCCTGCCCGCGGGCACGGGCTGCTCCCGGGTGCCGGCGGCCAAACCCCGCTCCACAAACGCTTCCCACCTTCCCCGGAGCGACGAGCCCGCTCAGCACCGAGCCCTCCCACACCCGCGGGGCTGCCAGAACCAGCCCGGGCCGGGTCCCGCGGAACCGGGCACAGGAGGGGCGAGGGCACCGGGAGGGACAGCGGGCACCGGGAGGGGCGAGGGCACCGGGAGGGGCGAGGGCACCGGAGGGGCGAGGGCACCGGGAGGGACAGCGGGCACCGGGAGGGACGAGGGCACCGGGAGGGGCGAGGGCACCGGGAGGGACGAGGGCACCGGGAGAAGGTCCCGGCAGAGGCGAGGGGGGATCCGGCGCGGCCCCGGGAGAAGCGCGGGGCTCCGGGACAGGCGGGGGCGGCCCCGGGGCCCCGGCCCGGCCCCGGCTCGCTCACGTCAGGACGGGGATCGGGGTCCACACCACGCAGTGCGGGAAGCGGCCGCGCTCCGCGTCCGGCGCGGCGCCGGCGCCGCCACCGAACGGCTTCATGCCCGGCTCCGCCGCCGCCATGCCCGGGGCGCGCCGCCCGCGTCACTACCGGCGGCGCGCGCTGCCGGGAACGGAACGGGACGGACGGGACGGGGAATGGGAACGGGAGCGGGGGTGGGGAACGGGGAATGGGAACGGGAACGAGGACGGGGACGGAACGGAACGGGACGGACGGGACGGGGAACGGGAACGGGACCGGGGGTGGGGAACGGGGAATGGGGAACGGGAACGAGGACGGGGACGGAACGGCAACGGGGATGGGAACGGGGAACGGGGAACGGGATGGGGAATGCAGAATGCAGAATGGAGAATGGGAACGGGAACCGGGAACGGGAATGGGGATGGGAACGGGAATGGGAACCGGGAACGGGAATGGGGATGGGACAGGACCGCGAATGGGAATGGAAATGGGAACAGAAATGGAATGGGAATGGGAATGGGAACGGGACAGGACCGGGAATTGGAATGGGATGGGAATGGGAACGGGACAGGACCGGGAATTGGAATGGGATGGGAATGGGAACGGGACAGGACCGGGGACGGAAACGAGAATGAGAACGGGAACGGGAATGGGAATGGGAATGGGAATGGGAATGGGAATGGGAATGGGAATGGGAACGGGAATGGGAACGGGCCTGGGCCCCCATCCCAGCCCGGGACCCCAAAGCCCAGCCCCAGCCCCAGAGCCCCGGGCTGCCCACGGGACCCTCCTGCTCCCCGCACCCCTCCCTGTGCCCAGGGCTGTCCCCAGGGGCCCCCGAGGGAAGCACAGGAGCAGAAATCATCAGAAATCATCAGAAATCGTCATCCCACGGAGCCTCCCGGGACAGGGGAGAAACTGCCAGAGCAGCGGCAGCATTTGCAGAGGGTTAGAAAAATAACAGTTGCTTTATTAGGAAGTTAAATTCGAACTATGCGAGAAAGCTGGAGAAATGTGTTTATTCCGGATTCCCACCCACCACAGCACGCTCTGAGCACAGAGAGACCCGCGGGGCTGGGGGAGGCACAGGGAGCCCCGGGCTGCCCCAGCCCAGCCAGGATGGGGCTGTTCTGCCCCAGGGCTGCAGCAGAGCTGCACTGTGCACCTCCCAACCTTCCAGCTCTGCATCCTTCCCCGTTTTCCTTGGAAACCGCTGTTTCCTCCTCGCCCCAGGGCTCTCCAGGAGAGCTGGGGTGTCACGGTGCCCTGCCAGGGCTTGGGAATAAAAATAAACAGTGCTGGCCCCTTCCTGCACGTGGCACAGAGGCAGCGCAGAGCCAAGGTGGATCTGGGGACGGACAAACCTGTTCCCAGCACTCATCACAAACCTACAGCTCCCACGTTTTACCGACATTCCTGCCCTGCCTGCCCTGCCTTGTCCCGCCTGCTGGCTGAGTCTGGCCACGGGTGTTGTGTGCTTCAGGACACAGCAGCACTTCACAGCGAGCTTCAGAGCCCGGAGGCCTCCGGGGAAGGCCCAGGAGATGGGTGACCTCTGCCCGCCTCGGAGGGGCCACCACTTTGGAGGGGCCACTGGGGCAGCAGAAAATGTCACTAGTTTCCTGTCAGGGTGGCCTCTTCCCCCTCAAGACACAGGAACTCCCCTTGAGCACTCAGCTGTGTGATGGAAAAGCAATCCACAAAATAGTCTGTCTCCAAAAGGCAGAAAGCTGAGGAAATCTAACACATGGCTGGTGCTTTGGTTTCTGCTTTCCTCTTTCAGGACTAAGAGTAATGGGTACAAACTGAAAGAGGGAAATCAGATTGGATCGGAGGAAGAAATCTCTGCCTGTGAGGGTGGCAGGCCCTGGCACAGGTGCCCAGAGCAGCTGGGGCTGCCCCTGGATCCCTTGAGTGCCCAAGGCAGGCTGGACACTGGGGCAACCAAGGTGTCCCTGCCCTGGCAGGGGTTGGAGTGAGATCCTCTCTGAGGTCCCTTCCAACCCTTAACATTCTGTGATTCCATTTTGGCACTTGGGATGGGAGATGCACACAAAGGTTGTGTTTCAGTGAACACTTTTTGTTCGACAAAGAAAAAAAACCCCTGGCATTGATTTGCTCCAGGCCAACATAAATATCAGAGATTGTGAAAAAGCCACAAATGAGGGCCAATGTTCACATCAGCTAATGTGGTCCTGGCACGTCTGTCGGATTAGGCAATGGATTTGCTCTTGCTGCTCGTGGCTGGGAGGCTGCTAAGCAGGATATCACCAGGGAGCAGCTCCTTGGCAGAGGCACACAGCAGGCACAGCTCTGGCAGGCCGTGTCCCCGCAGTGCCACCTCCCGCCTGGGCAAGGGCAGCTCGGACCCTTCACTCCCTCGGGAGCAAACCCTGCTGCCGCAGCTCGGGAAGAACACAGGCTGGGTTAAAAAACAATAATTAAAACCCAAATCAATAGAGCACTGGTTTGCTGCGCAGCTCTTTGTGTCTGTCAGGGAAGCACAAGGCGCTCCAGCCCCGGCAGAGCACGGCGGAGCTGGAGCTGACAGCAGGGTCTTCCTAGTGACAACTGGAAAGCTGCTGCTGTTGTGCTGCTATTGATCTAAGCAGAATACAAAACACCTGAAGTCAGCAGGGAAAAATAGCTGCAGTTGGAAAAGGAGCTGTGGGGGGGACGACAGGGAGGGGAGAGCAGGTAAGAAGTTCTCCATGCATAAAATTAAAGGCCAGGGTTTTATTGCAGCTCTCCTGCCTGACTACAGCACTGGATCGATGTGCAGAGCAGGAATGGTGCCATCATTGTTTGTGCAAGCTCTCATTTGAGGAGAAACAAAAGGGTTTGCCAGGGACTTGCCACCGCTGGCTCCTCTGCCTCCCTGGGCTCAGGACAGCGGGGACACGTCCCCGCTCCCGGCCGTGCCAGCGGCTCCTCGGGCCCTGGCGACCCCGAGCCGAGCTGAGGGCAGCCACGGGGCCCCGTGGGTTTGTCCCAGCCCAGCCTGGAGCCCGGCTGGAGCCCGGCCGTGCTCGGGCACCTCGCGGTGCCAGGCTGGCTCGGGCAGAGCCGGAGCAGCGGGCGCCCGGCCAGCTCCTGCTAAAGCGCTTCCCTGGGAACCTTCCCTGTTGTGCCAGCTCGGCGCTGGGGAGGGAGTGCGGAGCCAGAGCTCTGGGAGGAGATCCCTTCCCCCTCCTGCCACCGAGGGCCCAGGCGGCAGCAGGAGCGGGCTGGAAATGTCAGCGAGGCCGCGGCTGCTGCAGGACACCGGCCCGCAGGGAGCCCGGGCTGGGCTGGGCTGCCTTTTGTTGCTCCCTGCCGTGGGCTGTGCAGCCCGAGAGCCTCTCCTGGCTCCCCGGGAGCCCAAACGCCCCTCGGGGCTCCGCTGTGCCGCTCCCACCCCGCCATGGACACGCCAGGCTCAGCCGGCCTCCCCAAAAGCAGCCCTGAGCCGCCCCGGCTCTCAGCTCCAGCCTTCGGGGCTTTTCTCTCTCCCGGGCACTGGAAGCTGCATCTCCTCCTCCCTCTCCAACCCACAGGGCAGCTTCCCTGGCTAAAGGAAAAGCCAGCAGTTTCTCAGGGACGAGGGGCACACTGCCAGAGCTGAGTGCTGCTTGCACTGCTCAGCCTCCCGTGCTGCATGCAGGGCCGAGCTGCTCCCGTGCTGCATGCAGGGCCGAGCTGCTCCCGTGCTGCATGCAGGGC